TTATCGCCGACGTCAGATTCGTTGCGCTAAAGTTAATTAAGCTCGATCTCCGAGTTGGAACTCACAATAATCGAAGTCGATACCGGCTTTAAGCCATTGACATCATTATTATTATTATTACAAATTTTAATTAACTTAATTAATTATTTAATTAGTAATTAAATTAATAATTGAATAATTATTAAAATATCTTTAATGAAAATTTTATGCTATTTTGACATATCTGTAGACCATATAACAATGTGAGAGAGAGGGGGGGAGGAGGAAAGGGAGAGAGCAGTCCGAACGCAAAGCAAATTACAAAAACTAGTACACATTTTTTATCATTCGTCTGCTAAAAGGTTAGTTTCTGCTATTGCTTCTCATTATCACTATTTGCTTTAACAACTGTAATTCGTCTCTAATCATCGTCCGTTTCTGGATCGTGGCACTAATTATGATAGCGTTATTTATTGCACAGTACTGTATGCCGGCGAGTGCTACACATAACGTTGTCCGTTACGTAACGCCGTACGTACGCAGAGAAATAAAATTTCATTAACCGTGGTTAGAGCTAACCGACCTTAGTGAAACCGGCTCTAAATCACTTGTCAAGTGCAGGGTTCGGACATTTCCACTGTCGTCCTTTATATATGAACGGAACGTTCAAGACTTTCGTTGCGGCAGCAGAAAACCACGATAACCGCGGCGAGAGTTTCAACCATTTGAGATCCCCGATCGCGATTGACATAAACAATGCTCTAGCGTGTTTTAATTCGTCCGACGTGAGTTTCATTGGCTCGGCTAGTCCAACGTTTCGCTCGTTATCTCGCCGCGATTTCGACTTAGCTCTTGATCTTGCAGCGAGAGAACTACTCTTTGGTCCCTTCTTCGATGTCGCGTTTTCCTTTTTTTTTTTTTTTTTTTTATCATTATCATATATCCCACTCAAAACCCTACAACTTTTATATTCAACATTTTTCATACAACGTATACTTTAGAAGATATTAAGGTAGAAACTTTTATAAAAATAAATATCTCCTATATCAGCGCTCGGCGAGAAATGAATTTTTCGGCCGATTTTCAACTGGTTCTATATCTAACGCTATAGACGGAGTTAGCTGAAATTTCTTCCTAAATTCTGCCCTATATATACATGTATGCATATTTATGTATATCTCTATCTTTCATGCGTTTTGTCTACGCGTTTTGCCTACATTCTTTTTTCTACGCTTTTTTCTTACCTTTTCTATGCTTTTGTATGCTGTGCCGAACCTGTTTTCAGGTCATTTTTGTCTTGATTCCGAAATTGGAGGACTGTTCCAAAAGTATAAATTGCAGGTATACAAAATTATGCACACATAAGTAGAATCGTTTCAAAGAACCGATAAATTTTATATAATTTATATCTTTGTGTTCTTAAAGTAATTTTTCAAACACACACAGTGTTTACGAAGCAGAAACTAATTGTGACAATGAATTTAAAGAGATGAAAATATTAGTGCGAATAATTAAAATTTTTTGGCGACTTAATATATGTAAAAAGCAAAGTCTTAATTTCCAAGCAAATTTCACTCGTACAGAATTTTTAATCAGAGACTTGCTTACCAAAATATTTAACTTAGAAAATTAAATGTAGGAAATTAAAAAAGTTACGAAAAAGAACGGTGTCTAATTAAATTCTTGTTAGAGAGAACTCTACTCCAGATTCGGCCAAGAGAGAATTTTCAGGCAAGAGAGAAAGCGCGACAGCTTTTACGTCCCACGCGTTAAAGAATCTTCGATGCTTTACGTCGACAATAAATATCGCGTCTTCACGAAAGTCGTCTCTCCTTTGTCTAACGAAGAAAGTTGGGCTTCGCGCGAAGAAAGTATCGTAGTGAGACGGATGAGTCTGCTAGCGAAACGATCAAATTTCACATGCGCGAACTGTAACTGACCTTTAGCAGAGAAAGCTTAATCCTGCTCGAGTAGAAGCCGTATTTGGCTCATGTTTTGTTAGCGTAAATAAATTAGTTGGCGAAAATCAATCATTCATAACACAAACACCGTGACGAATCAAAACATCGTTTTCAATTTTTATTATTATTTGTTATATATAATAATTATTATTACTATTTACATGATTTATTATAAGCATTATGATTATTTGTTGTAATTACTTCCTGATTGTCCCTTTCTAACTTGAAATGTGTTTAATTATTGAAATACTCCTTTTTTGTTATTATTTAAAGGTAAATTTTAATATGTGGTCCTGTCTGGGAATTATGTGTTGCCGCTTAAAGAAAACCGACGTGTATGTATTTCAGATTTTTCTCGACCGCGGAAGTGAAATTTCTAGTCCGTTACCGAACGACAGACTCGTAATCTACGTTTAATAAATCGGATCATCGATCTAGATTTCGAACTTGCCGTTTCGCTCGGCCAACTTTCTTGTTTTCGCTCAAATGAGCCTTTAACTTTCCTCGTTTCGAGGAAAAGATTCTAAATCTCTCTGTAAAAATAAACTCGATAAAATACGTTTACTACAAAGAACATAGTATAATATCGTTTAGCAAAAAATTCGAGAGAGAAATTTCACTTTATTTTTCATTATACGTAATGTACTTTTCGATTTTCAAACATCATTAGGTACTTTTCCCCTGGAATTATCTCTTTCTCTCTTTCTCTCTCGCTCTCTTTTTCTCTCCCCATTCACTCCCCTTCTCCTCCCCCTCTCTCTCTTTATCAATATCTTATATATTAATAATTAAGAAAAAATGTTTTGATGAATAGATTAGATTGATCAAAATCAATAATAGTATGTAATAATCACAAAAATATTCAAGATGTTACGGAATGAAATTATTGTTTGATATCAAAATGATAAGAACATTTATACCTAAATCAAACAAATCTGCATCATGTCGTATCTTTCTTTTTGTTGAAGGGCAGAAAATTACATTTTATAAACGTTATCCATAAACATCGATAAATAGGAACTCGAAAAGAAGAAAATTGAAAAGAGATCGCGAGATAGTCCGTTATAAGACGTTTCCCGGTCACCAGGCATCATCGCAACCACGCGAAAGTGGTTCACCACACTATATTAAGTTAGGATAGGTCATGCTTTGATTCACGGCAGTTCTCCATACAGCATCACTTTCTCCTCTCCCCTTTCTGTCATTCTTTGTCTCTTTCGCTTATAATTCTCTCTCTCTCTCTCCCCCCCCTCACTTCCTTTCTTCCTCTCCCCCCTCTCTTTCGCTCTGGGCCTATGCAAGTCTTCCTACCTGATAGTGAAACCTAATCTAACCTAACCTAGCCGAAAATGAAGGACCAAAAAGGGAATGAAGCGATCCTGCATAAAGGCAATAAAAAGGACAAAACTTACCCACAAAAAGGAAATTGTAGAACTGTTCCGAAAATTTTTTCTGCGGGTCACTCTTTATACACTTAAAACAGGTTACCTGAATAACTCGCCTACTTTTGGTAATAGGAAAAAATGCATCAAATTTTGCTTACTTAACTTTAAGGGGAACATAATTTGATGTCAATAGCTTTTTGTAGGTGAAGGTGTGGAGGAGATGCGAAAGTCAACTTAATTTTTTTAAATAGAATTATATGATTTTTTTTACATAATATGATTCTCCTTGTTATTTTGCATATAAAGCTATTAAAGTAGAGTTATCAAAAAATTAATAGTTTACGAAATACTTTATACTTTATTCTGGCAAGGTGCCAGACTACGCGATAAGATAATATTTAGCAAAAATATTTTATTTTGTAAAAACCAGAGCGATCGGCAGGTAAAGTAGTAGCGCGTGTTCGAGATATTTGTATTATTTGTTACCTTTGTAGGTTTCTAGTCCAATTATATATATTTAGCAGCGGTTAACTCCGACAATCGCATGAAATCTATTAAATAAATATTAAGCATTTCATCGTCTTTTCAAGGATTTTTTATTTTAAATTTTAATCGAGTGCATTGCACGTCATGTTTATTTGTCACAAATATCTTTTTATTTTATGTTTTTTTTTCCGCATGACAAAATGGACCAGCGTTATAAAAGCGAAGAGAAAGCTAGGCGCATGCGATACCCGGTATGCCTTTGAGTAAAATTAAACGTTTAGTTTTATTATAACGTTCGTTATGTTCAAGTGTTCTCCGGTAACCAACTGTATATTTAAAATCGCTAACCTTTTTATCACTTAAATATTAACGGGACTTCAATTTGATGATCTTAATCACTAACTTAATTACGATTCTACATATTCCCTCTAATCTTCTCAATTTTCATTACTCTCCCGCTGAACTTTCCATTCGGATACTTTCGCTAAATGTAAGATCATCATCAAATATTTCATAAAAATGATCTGCGATGACATTACGTATAACGCAGTTATCGCATCCTGGGAAATATTGTTACTTTTTTTCAATAACAATAGTTTTGTAGTTTTATAAATATTATACGATATATGTTACAAGCAAAACTATTATGACTTCTGGACACAGGGAGTCGATTATGTATCTTGAAGAAAAAAGGTGGAAATTACAAAAGTAATCAGGTTTATTAGATTTTGATCAATACAATCGCAGATACTGCTAGTGAATTTCCTTATTTGTGTAATTTTCACATCTTTGATCAATTTCTAGGACGTGGAAACGCTTACCACGCATCAAGGGGTGACTCAGTAGTCAATCAATGTTTTTTATGCAACACGTGCATGGAAAGTGCCCCATTACGCACGCTACGCGTGCGTGATAGACCACTTTCCAGGCACTTGCAACATAAAATAGGGAGTGTAAGCCGTGTGTAAAGATGAAAATTCCCGGGTGCGGTTACCGCACTCGCCTTCGGCTCGTGCGTAAACTCCACACCCGGGAATTTTCATCTTACCTCACTTGTTACACAAATAACTATTATATCACACGTGCATCAAAAGTGGCCCATTCCGTGCGCGCCATCTGTGTGCGAAGTAGCCAATTCCATGCATGAGAAATTTCTCACTATATTCCCGCATTCAGTGCGGGAATATAGTGAGAAATTTTATTCCTGCACGACTCATTGCCAACACTCTCCTTATTTTCCCCACTCATTCTGTGTCTTTCCCACTAGAGTCCTCTTATTTCTGACTAGTGTCCCTGATTTCTGACATGTTCTTAACGACATCTCGCGGCGCACTACGCGAAACACTACGCGTGTTTCCGTGCGCTGCGAGATGTCTACGCGAATTACCACAGCGATACTCAGACATAACCTCAGAAACGCCAGAAACCGAGACCGACTCAATGTAAAATTTCTCGTGTACCCGAAATCGTCGAGGAGTCGCGTAGCGGATGTGTATGTGTGTGCACGTGTGTCGCGCGGATTTGCACGCCAGGACGATCGATAAACCGTCCGTCGTCGGGATCGCGTCTTCCGGGAACGAAACGCGAATCGTCGGGAAGTCCGGCACGTGCCGGCACCGTTCCCTCGAGCTACGAGCCGGCGAAAACCTAATCTGCAAAGGCAACTGTGAAACGGAGACGCTTCGAGCCTACGAGCATTTTGATTCAATTCTTATTGGTCAAGACATTGGACTACTGTGCATACGTAATGTTGTTTCACCTTTCTTATTACATCTTATTACATTCTTTCTTATTACATCTTATTACATTCGTATTACATGTTTGCTCCTGTAATAAACGTTGCTTTTATCATAGGCGGGGGGAGGGGCTCCGCCCCTCCCCCCCTCCCCGCCTGTGCCCAACTTTTCGACTCGGGGGGCTTCGCCCCCCCGAACCCCCCTCCCAACTCGGGGGGCTTCGCCCCCTCTCGTTGGGCGAAATAGCTCCCCGCAAGTCCTTCTTTAAGGGCTCGGGGGGGCTTCGCCCCCCCACGCCCCTGCAAGTCCTTTTTTAAACTTTAGACGCACTTGTGATATAAAATAGTGTGTGTAACACGTGCGGGTTGAGAATTAGACACGCGTGCGGAGTGGACGCACTCGCCTTCGGCTCGTGCGTCACTCCGCTCTTGTGTCCAATTCTCAACTTCCCGCACTTGTTACACAAATAACTATTTTTGTAAGTAAGCAGTGATTTCGTGGGATGTCGCTTCAACTTCTGCTACACCGATATGTTATGCATGTGATATAGTGGTGTCGTCCCAATGTTTTTGTGGTGGGTAATGTCGCTGATCCATAGACGCAGAAACGCCGTGCGGCAAGGTGCGTTGACCAGAAGGCTGCCGCAAATCGCCTGCGTTAACCTCCGGCAACATCAAAATTCGTTGATTGGTCAACGCACTCTGCCGCATGGCGTTGCCGTGTCTATGGAGTCTTATGGCGTTTTCGATTTGCTACTCGACCCGACATACATAGATATGTATGTATTCCACGTCAATGATGCTAGAGTCCTGTATACATGATGCGACCCGAGTCGGTTTGAGTCGCAAATCGAAAACTTAGCATAACACTTTTATAAGCTTGTCCGTTTTAGCTGAACTTTTTGCACGGTTCATCTTTCCTCTTTTTCTTTTCACGTTAGAGAAAAAAGGAGAAAAGATGAACCGTGCGCAAGAAGTTCAGCTAATACGAACAGGCCCACGTCCCACGAAATCACTGCGGCAGCACTGGCGCGGGCAAACGTGTGCAAACGATTGCACACGTTTGCACACGTTTGCACACGTTTGCACACGTTTGCACACGTTTGCCCGCCACCATTAGTGCTGACAATGTGGAGATATGTGCTTTTCACGTAAGTCTCATGTGCATCTCTATACATCCATTAGTCCGGCAGCCGGCAGTAATGCCTGGACATTTTGATGTGTGTATGACATACATGTATATGTATATGTATATGTATTATGTCCAGGTAGACTGTACTCAGTTTTTAACCTTGTAATTGCCTGCCGTGAAAATTAAACGCTACCTCTGCATGAAACCTATACCTAATTGTAAGATTTGATGAGCAGTTTCCAAAACACCCGGGTTTTGGGCGTATCCAGATAGTAGATTCTGAAAAAATTTATTTTTATTTATTGCACAAGAATGAGAAAAAAATCGTACAGCGTCAGGAATCAAATCTGTGTGGATCTCTCGCGCGCGAATCTCGCACGTTGCCACTAAATCACAGCCACGTGAACGAGCCACATGTAAATCTACAGGGTGTCTAATTTTAAAGTTTGCAGTGTTATATCTCGCGAACCGATGATTTTATTGAAAATTGTTTCAGACAAAAGTTGCATGGTTTGGAGGGGGATACATGATTCAGATGTGATTCATGTCGTAGATGTCATCGTTTTTAAGAAATTTTAAAGGCGACTAATTTCTTAAATGGAACTTGATTTTTTCCTTGAGATAAAAGTTGTACATCTCGTCGAGACGTTTTTAAAACACTATAATGAAGCTCTCTTTTGTTAATAATTTCCTGAGATATTTTAAATTTTGTCATAATATTTTTAACGTAAAATATGCACTGAAAAAAAATCTGGTTGAATTAATTGGACGTCTGGTAGAAAATGAACGAACCAGATTCTTCCAATTAATGCAACCAGAAATTTCAATTAATGCAACCAGAATTCCTATTAATTCAATTAGATTCTGGTAGATTTAACCAGTATTTTCTGGTGGAACAAACCAAATTTTTGTTCAGTGTGAAATATCTCGTAAAGTATTCATGTTTCGATGATTTTATTTTTATACTTTTATACGTAGAATAATGAAAGGAATTGATTGTTGAAAAAAAATATATTATTTTGAAAAATTTGATTGCATTTTGTAGATGCATGCAATTTTGCAAAATTGCAAATATAAACATTAATATTATTATATCGTTTCCTTTCATCTACGTATATATAAAAGTAAAGTATGAAAGTAAAGTCATCGAAACATGAATACTTTACTTACTGAGATATTTCATATTTTATATTAAAAATATTATGACAAAATTTAAAATATCTCCGGAAATTCTTAACAAAAGAGAGCTTCATTCTAGTGTTTTGAAAACGTCCCGATGAGATCTACAACTTTTATCTCAAGGATAAAATCAAGTTTCATTTAAGAAATTAGTCGCCTTTAAAATACCTTGAAAACGATGACATCTACGACATGACTCACGTCTGAATTATGTGTCCCCCTCCAAACCATGCAACTTTTGTGGGAAACATTTTTTAATAAAATCATCGGTTCGCGAGAATATAGCACGGTAAACTTTAAAATTGGACACTCTGTATATATTAATCTCTTGCTTGTGCAAGAATAAAATTTTCTTAAATAAAAATAAAATCTACTGTCTGGATACGCCTAAAACCGTGTTTTGGAAACTGCTCATTGAATTCTACAATTTGGTACAAGTTTCACGCAAAAACGGCGTTCCCAATTTTGAACCTCCTCTTGTTAGAAGAAGGCTCGAAACTAAACATATTTTTATAAGGGTCTCTTGTGCAAACAAGCTTTTATACAAATTAATATAATTTAAAATATTTAATCATGACTTTTAAAAATTATATTTAAAAATGCTATGTTTAGTCGGCACGAAAGAGCTCAGCCATTAAGCTAGCTTCATCGACCGATCTACATGAACGATAGCAAATATATTAGCTACCAATTTGGCCGGTATATAACATAGTCAACATACGCCAATATACATATGTTAAACTAATGTTGGACATTATGAATATGTTAGTATCTGTATGATATGCTTAATACTAGCCATACACAGAGAGAAATATTTCTTTACATTCGTTATTTCCATTTGTTTGGATTATATTTATTTCATAGAAACAAATTTACTTTAAGTAAAACATTATTTTGTTGAATAGAAATTTTGTAGTTTTATTACATTAAACCATATTGTTTAATAGAACAAACACGATTGTTTGAAAGAATATGTTTCGATGAAAAAACATTTTCTTTGGTTACAATAAATGTAATTAGCGTTTTCATCGCTAGGCGGCTGCTAAACTCGTGAGTCAAATTCGACCAGAGACCGTATATAAGGCTCCACAGTAAAAGCATCTATTTCTCGCAGTTGTACACATCAGTGTACAACTTGGAATCTAATATCACACCGATCACTCGAGTGATGGAGATATGACAATTATTTATTATTTATTTATTTATATACGTAGCAGTCAACCGACTACTACATATATCATGTATAAATACATAAATAATAAATAAATGTTTAAGACATTTTTTATAAAACATTGATATTTAAATAAAACAATAGTATTATTAAAGCAAAGAAAATATGTTTTTCGTTTCAAACAATTTTTTTATTTAAGACAAAGATATGTATTCTTTGAAAAATCAAACAATTGCATTTTTTAGTTTAAACACTGATTCGGTTGGACTATTCCAATGCATAAATTTCTTTAGATTTAAGAAAATTTATTAAATCTAAAGAAACATTTCTCTCTGTGTATGAATACAGATCAATAATTAACGAATGTGGACCAATATTACAAAGAATCGGAAATGAGAAGGAACAACGTTAACCAGCTAAATCCAACGATGTCGCACGAGGATCAACATAGGCCTATTCTACAACACGTCGGATGTCGGAATCAATGAGAGAATTTCTTTTTCGAAAACGAGTTCTTTTCATTGGATCATCGGCTACGTTCCGACAGCAACATACGACATATTGTAGAACAGGCCATAATAATGCTTCGTGTCGTGTCGTCGTCGTCGTTGCATAGATATTTCTGCTGCGATCAGTGGAGTGGCGGTGAGGCGGAGAAGGTGCGCTTGGTACAGAGGAAGGGTGAAGCAGTCGAGGGTGAGCCACGGACGACGAGACAAGCCGCGGAGAAAGGCGAGCTGGAGCGTCGATAGGGGAGCTGGGGGAATGAGCGAGGAAGAGAGAGACAGGCCGAGAGGGTGAGCAGGGTGAATCACGGAGGGGTGCCGCGAGTCGAAAGCACAGAGGAGTGGGTGCCGGTGCCGAGGGGTGTCTCTTTTGAGCCGCCTGAACTTTGCCAAGTTCGAAACCGTCCGAGGCCGATGGCGACTCCATCCCCCTCGCATCGCTCTCTCCCTCATCGCGGCATGACTCACCCCCTCACCCCCTCTTGCCATATCTCTCTCTCTTTCTCTTTATCTCCGTCCTTCCTTTCTCGTTTGCTCGTCTCCTCTTCCTTCCCACCCGTCGACCCCGCCGATGTACTCGGCGTACCCTCGCGTCCGCCGCCGTCGCGGTATTATGGAAATTTTGAACCAATTCGAAAATCAATAGCCACCGCCGCGGGGAAGAGCGTCGAGACGGCCTGCGCCGCGCCTTCCAAGCTTGGCTTTTTTAGCGTCTGAGAAAATGTGATGTCTTCCATCTTCTGTCTGTTTCTATTTAGCCGGCGAGGGCGGAGGCATCAATGCTCGCTTGGTCTCGCCCATCAGGTCACGATTTTCTATCTAGTCGGATAAAATGACGATACCTAAGAAACTCTTTTGTTTTGCACTTCAAGTGTCGGCAATATAAATTATCGTTTGCGAATAACATAACTTATGGTCGACGACTTGAATTATTATCGTTCTCATATATATATATTTTTTAATAGAATAGGATTTGTTTGAGACCACATGAGGTCTTATGATATATGAATAATGATACATA